GGAGGGATGGGGCCGAGCAACTGCTTGTCTCTGTCACCTCTTCTCTCTGTCCTGTTCCCCATTAACCAAGAAGGACGGACCTCACACAGAGCTCACCCATGCCAGGAAGCTTTCTGGCATCTTCCATGTCCTCATGTATTTAATCTTCAAGCGCCCCACTGAGGCAGGTACTGAGATTCTCCTGTTTTACACGTGGGGGAGCCGAAGCACAGAAAGGAAAGTGATTTGCCCAGGTTCACCCACAGTCAAGGGCACGGGCACACTTGCACCCCAGACAGCCTAGACCAATGCCGGGCTGTGAGAAGAGGGCTGGCAGCTCTGTGCGGCAGGTGCGCAGCAGACAGGCGGGCCTCCTCCCCAGCTGCCCCAGCACCCGGGTACCCCCAGAGGGGACGCTCAGAGTCAGGAGGCCGGCGAGCAGGGCCCAGAGGCACCTCCTGAGGCGCCCATTCATCTTGGCCCCGCTGTCTGTCAGGAACTCCGACTTGCCCTTGATGCAGTATCTGAGCCTGGGAGGGTCTCGCTCCAGAACGGGTGAGTGAGCTTCCCTGGGCCTCCTGTTGGACACTGGGAGGTGATAGTCATGGTTTCCTATCCCTTCCTAATAGCTCAGTTTGCCCAGCTGGCCCAGCTGAGCCCCCAGGAGCGTCTGAGCCGGGAGACGGCCCTCCAGCAGAAGCAGGTGTCCCTGGAGGCATGGCTACAGCGCGAGGCACAGACGCTGCAGCAGTACCGCGTGGTGAGTGGGGTCCTGGCCTTCTCCTGGGCGTGGGTGCCATGAAGTCAGTCTCTGGCGACCCAAGGGAGGGCCGGGGCCCGGATGAGAGCAGAACCTGGGGAGGCAGGAAGCATTTTTTCCTGGGGGCCGTGCGAGGCAGAGCAGCTCGGACCTGCCCTGCCATTTCCCAGCGAGGCCCCGCAGTGTTCTCTGGGAGCCCAGAAGGGGCTGCTCTCCTCCCTTCCCTCAGGAGCTGGCCGAGAAGCACCAGAAGACCCTGCAGCTGCTGCGGAAGCAGCAGACCATCATCCTAGATGACGAGCTGATCCAGTGGAAGCGGCGGCAGCAGCTGGCCGGGAACGGCGGGCCCCCCGAGGGCAGCCTGGACGTGCTACAGTCCTGGTAATGGTGTGGGGCGGCCAGAGGGCAGGGCAGGAGGGGCTGGTGGGGACCCTGGCTGCTTCTGCCTCCTGTGCTGGCTCCTGCAGCAGGCCCCCTCCATCCTGGGACAGCTCTTGTTTCTCCAGGGGGCCTGGTTCCTGAATCAGACTTTGGTCCCCCATCCTGTGCACCTCCCCCAGGAAGGGGGCTGCTGTCCTGGGGGTGGGAGAGAGCTCGGGGGTGTGGGGTGATGCTCGGGCTGTTTGGGCCTAGACAGGGTCGCCCCTCCTGTGTACATTTCTAATTCTGGGAGGCAGAGAGCTCTGCTCTTCCCATGGGTGGGAGGTGTGGTGAAAGCACAGAGCCTTCCTGTGGGAGGGGGAGCTGTGTCTTGGGGCCTGGCGTCTGTGCGAAGAAGCCATTGTCCTCCTGTTGGCCTTGGGGCTCCCGTGCAGGTGTGAGAAGTTGGCCGAGATCATCTGGCAGAACCGGCAGCAGATCCGCAGGGCTGAGCACCTCTGCCAGCAGCTGCCCATCCCTGGCCCAGTGGAGAAGATGCTGGCTGAGGTCAACACCACCATCACGGACATCATCTCAGCCCTGGTGACCAGGTGACTGCTGCCTGTTGGCCATGCCCAGGAGCTTGGGGCAGCTCCAGACTGCGTGTGGGGGGCCGCAGGTGCCTTCCAGACCAGCAGATTCGCTTTGTGCCTCTCATCCCTCCCCACTCCGTCTCCAGTTGCTGTGGCTGCTGGGTGCTGCCCTTGCCCGGTTTCTCCTGTGGACACTGCAAGAGATGCCCTTGGGCCGCAGCCCATGCCAGCTGCTGTGTTATGTCACTCCCCTCTCCATCCTTTCCCTGGACACTCATGGCTTCCCCAGGAACAGAGGCTGTGCCCGTGCTTTTCACCTCCTGAGCCCCGCGGGAGGCAGACCCACCCCCACCACAGGAGGACTGAGAGCCCTTTCCCCTGCGCCAACCCCTCATCGTACGTCTGTCCCTGTGTCCCCTGCAGCACATTCATCATTGAGAAGCAGCCTCCTCAGGTCCTGAAGACCCAGACCAAGTTTGCAGCCACCGTGCGCCTGCTGGTGGGTGGGAAGCTGAACGTGCACATGAACCCGCCCCAGGTGAAGGCCACCATCATCAGTGAGCAGCAGGCCAAGTCTCTGCTCAAGAACGAGAACACGCGCAAGTAATTGTGCCTCTCCCTTCCCCTGCCCAGACTTAGGTGTGGGGGACCTGCACCCCCTCTCTTTGTCCTTGCATCCAGCCATGGCTTGTCCCCTAGTTTACCATGTTGCCCAGGCTGGTCTCGAACTCCTGGACTCATGCAGTCTTCCCATCTCAGCCTCCCAAAGTGCTGCGTTGACAGGCGTGAGCCACCACGCCCAGCCGAGAATCAGTTCTTTACCCTGGGGATGGCATGGCTGCCGGAGAGCTGAGGCTCACTGCCACTGCCCAGCATTGTGAGAGACTGTCATACCACTTTCTCCTGAAAGTGTGTTGCTTCACACCATTGTAAATCCAATCATGTCAAACCATCATTAAATCTGGACAGATGGTACACTGCCCTCCTCCTACTCAGAGACCATCCCGGTTCCTGCAACAAGCATGGTGCTAGGCTAGATGCGGTGGCTCACCCCTGTAATCCCAGCACTTTGGGAGGCCAAGGTGGGAGGATCACTTGAGCCCAAAAGTTTGAATTGGACAACACAGGGAGACCCTCATCTCTACAAAAAATTTTAAAATTAGCTGGGCATGGTGGTGCACGCACCTGTAGTCCCGGCTGTTCAGGAGGCTGAGGTGGTAGGATCACTTGAGCCTGGGAATTTGATACTACAGTGAGGTATGATTGCGCCATGGCATTCTAGCCTGGGCAACAGAGTGAGACCCTGTCTCGAAAAAAAATCACACAAAGTATGGTGTTGCAGCCGTGTTCTAGAACCTCTGCTACGCACCGAGGACGAAACTGTGATCCCAATAGAATTGGGCTGTCTCCTTGCTCAGCACCTTGACCAGCAGAGCAGGCAACAGATGCTGGGAAATGCCTGATGGTGTAGCCATGTGGCAGGGGGACGTGTAGGGCACTGAGAAAGGGGGTCTTGATGCAGGAGTAAAGAAATGACAGTCTTAGGCTCCTGGTGGAATTAGAGGCAGCTAGTGATAGGGAGGGAAGTAGCAGAGAGAGAGGACTTTCAGGCAGAGCCCATGTGCCGCGTCCTGAGGGAAGAGTACAGAGAGGCTGTGTGTGGCAGAGTGGGGAGGTAGTGTCCAGTGTCAGGGCCTGCCACCCACAACATATGCAGGGGGTGAATGAATGAGTGAGTGAATGAGTGATGTGGAAGACATGGCCCCATCCCCTGTCATCCAGTTAAAAATGTTTACTGAGGCTGGGCGAGGTGACTCACGCCTATAATCCCAGCACTTTGGGAAGTGGAGGCGGGTAGATCACTTGAGGCCTGGAGTTCGAGACCAGCCTGGCCAACATGGTGAACCCTGTCTCTACTAAAATACAAAAATTAGCCGGGCTTGGTGACATACACCTGTAGCTCCAGCTACTTGGACCTCTAGTCCCAACTACCAACTACTCTGAGGCAAGAAAATCACTTGAACCCAGGAGGCAGAGGTGGCAATGAGCCAAGATTGTGCCACTGCACTCCAGCCTGAGCGACAAAGCGAGGCTCTGTTTCAAAAAAAAAAAGGCTGGGCACAGTGGCTCATGCCTGTAATTCCAGCACTTTGGGAGGCCGAGGCGGGCGGATCATGAGGTCAGGAGTTCATAACCTGCCTGACCAACATGGCGAAACCCCGTCTCTACTAAAAATATAAAAATTAGCCCGGCGTGGTGGTGGACGCCTGTAATCCTAGCTACTTGGGAGGCTGAGGTAGGAGAATTGCTCGAACCCAGGAAGTGGAGGTTGCAGTGAGCCAAGATCGTACCATTGCACTCCAGCCTGGGCAACAAGAGCAAGACTCTGTCTCAAAACAAAACAAAAAAACAAAAACAAAAAAACTTTACTGATTTCCTACCATATGATCTGGGGTGAAGATGAAGACAAATGATCTTCTCACTGCCTTTGAGCTTGCACTGCAGCTGGGGAGACTGATGAAAATACACTTTAAAAGATCAGGCAGGGCCAACCCAATGACAGACAGTGGAAAAGAAGTTTTTTTTTTTTTTTTTTTTTGAGACGGAGTCTCGCTCTATCACCCGGGCTGGAGTGCAGTGGCCGGATCTCAGCTCACTGCAAGCTCCGCCTCCCGGGTTTACGCCATTCTCCTGCCTCAGCCTCCCGAGTAGCTGGGACTACAGGTGCCTGCCACCATGCCCGACTAGTTTTTTGTGTTTTTTTTAGTAGAGACGGGGTTTCACCGTGTTAGCCAGGATGGTCTCGATCTCCTGACCTCGTGATCCGCCCATCTCGGCCTCCCGAAGTGCTGGGATTACAGGCTTGAGCCACGCACCCGGCCGGAAAAGAAGTTAAGACAGAGCAATCTAGGCTGGGCGCGGTGGCTCACGCCTGTAATCCCAGCACTTTGGGAGGCCAAGGTGGGAGGATCATTTGAGGTCAGGAGTTCGAAACCAGCGTGGGTAACATGGCAAAACCCAATCTCAACTAAAAATACAAAAATTAGCCAGGTGTGGTTGCACGTGCCTGTAATCCCAGCTATTTGGGAGGCTGAGGCAGTAGAATCACTTGAACCTGGGAGGTGGAGGTTGCAGTGAGCCGAGATTGCACCATTGCACTCCAGCCCGGGCAAAAAGAGCAAAGCTCTGTCTCCAAAAAAAGAAGAAAGAGCAATCTGCTAGCATTGGAGATGTGTTAAAGGCGGGGGTGAGGGAAGGTCAGCCTGGTAAGCTTCACCAGATAAGTGGTCCAGGAAGGCCTTTCTGGGGAGCTATCTGGGCTGAGACCTGAAGGAGGAGAAGGCTAAGAGCGTTTGGGGTGACAGGAAGAGCAAGGGCCAATGTCCAAGCCTGGCATGTTCAGCAGACAGCCAGGGCCAATGGGGCTTGCGTGTCCTGAGTGAGGGGAGAGGAGTTCAGTGAGGCCAGGGAGGTGGGTAGGTGTTAAACATAAGGATACTCATAGACTGTGGTTGTGGTTTTTATCTTAAGTGCATTAGAAGCTACTGGAAGTCCCCAAAGCCCCTCACATCAATCTTTGTATCTGAGGAATTTCTAATAATAGATCCAGACCTCACCATTGGAGACCTTGCCTTGGGTGCTGGGCACCAGGTTGATGGAGAAGTCAACCCAGAAAGATGCCAAGAAACACTCTTAGGAGATGGGGGCAGGGGCTTTTGGCAGGGCTGACCTGAGTGAAGACCCCAGCCCAAGGTGTGGACAGGACCATGCTCCTGGCCTGGGGCCTGTGTGGAGCTGGGACTCCCCTCTCCATTGCAGCGAGTGCAGTGGTGAGATCCTGAACAACTGCTGCGTGATGGAGTACCACCAAGCCACGGGCACCCTCAGCGCCCACTTCAGGAACATGGTGAGGACAGGGTCCACCCTCAGAGGGCAGGTCTGCCCAGAGCCGAGTCCTTGTAAGCAGCCGCAGTCTCCCTGTTCCCCTGTCACCTCCCACCCTGCAGTCACTGAAGAGGATCAAGCGTGCTGACCGGCGGGGTGCAGAGTCTGTGACAGAGGAGAAGTTCACAGTCCTGTTTGAGTCTCAGTTCAGTGTTGGCAGCAATGAGCTTGTGTTCCAGGTGAAGGTGAGGCCCCCAGCCCTCCTGCCCCAACTGCTGCAGTTCACCCAGGAGGTGGAGGGGCCTGCCTTGGGACTCCTGGCTGCATTGCCACCGGACAGCCTGCTTTGACTCTGTGGGTACCTGTTTGCTAGGTTATAATCTGGGACTAACCCAGACAATTTAGGCAATGGGCTAAGAAGAAATTGGTTGTAGTTTTTGTTTGTTTGCTTGTGCCTATGTTTTGTTGGGAGGGGTTTGTGTTTGGAACTGTGGGTGAGGAAAGTGGGTTGGGACCAGGTGTGGTGGCTCTCACCTGTAATTCCAGCATTTTGGGAGGCAGAAGAGGGAGGATTGCTTGAGTCCAGGAGTTCAAGATTAGCCTGGGCAGCATAGTGAGAACCTGTATCTACAAAAAAAAAAAAAAAAAAACGTCAGGCATGGTGGCATGCACCTATAGTCCCAGCTATTCTGGAGGCTGAGGCAGGAGGATCACTTGAGCCCAGGAGGTCAAGGCTGCAGTGAGCTGTGATTGCACCATTGCCCTCCAGTCTGGATGACAGAGCGACACCCTGTCTGGCGAAAAAATAAAGTGGATTGCGGCCACACGTGGTGGCTCATGCCTGTAATCCCAGCACTTTGGGATGCCAAGGCAGGTGGATCACCTGAGGTCGGGGGTTTGAGACCAGCCAGACCAACATGGAAAAACCCTGTCTGTACTAAAGATACAAAATTAGCCAGGTGTGGTGGCGCATGCCTGTAATCCCAGCTACATGAGAAGCTGAGGCAGGAGAATCGCTTGAACCTGGGAGGCAGAGGTTGTGGTGAGCTGAGACTGCACCATTGCACTCCAGCCTGGGCAACAAGAGTGGAACAATGTACCAAAAAAAAAAAGCATTAAAAAAAAAGATGGGGCACGTTGCTTAAGCAGAGGGCACGTGGTGGTCACGCCCCATCAACTTGGGTTCCTCTGACTCCTGCAGACTCTCTCCCTACCTGTGGTCGTCATCGTCCATGGCAGCCAGGACCACAATGCCACGGCCACCGTGCTGTGGGACAACGCCTTTGCTGAGCCGGTGAGTCCCCGTGGGAGCCCTACCCCAGCCCCCCCACCCCCCGGGCCCTAGGACTTGCCTGGGGTCAGCCCCACCCCAGGGCCAGCCCAGAGGTGAGGTGAGGCCAGAAGGGCTGGGGTGCTGGGCGCCTGCCTTCGGCCATGGCCTTGGTACTCTGTCTGGGTTCCAGGTTCCTGGACTGGGGTCTGTGAGGTCTGTGAGTTTGGTCTTTGGATCTTGGTCTGGGATCCTCCTTTGGCAGATGGCTTGGGTCCTTGCTGTCTGTCCTCTGTGCCCCCACCCCCTGCATCAGCTTTCTTCCCTGCAGGCTGGGGTTGCAGCGCAAGCTAGTGTATAAAAGCCGCCGCATTTCTTACCCTTGCATTTGTGTCACCTTTCTGGATATGTCTCAGTCTCCCCTGTCTCTCAGTGTCTGTGTATCTCGTGTGTGTGTGAACATTTCCAACTCCCTTAATCTACCTTTTCCCCTCTCTTCTCTCCCTCTCAGGGCAGGGTGCCATTTGCCGTGCCTGACAAAGTGCTGTGGCCACAGCTGTGTGAGGCGCTCAACATGAAATTCAAGGCCGAAGTACAGAGCAACCGGGGCCTGACCAAGGAGAACCTTGTGTTCCTGGCGCAGAAACTGTTCAACAACAGCAGCAGCCACCTGGAGGACTACAGCGGCCTGTCCGTGTCCTGGTCCCAGTTCAACAGGGTGAGGGACCCGGCCACCAGCCGTCCACCAGGGCCCATGGGGGTCTGTCGCTCCTCTGCCTCACAGGTTACTGCCTGGTCTAGCACTCCACTCTCCACCCCCAACTACCCTCTCCTACAACCAGGAGAGATGGGGGCCCCTAGCCTCAGGAAATGCAGGCAGGGGCTATAGGAATTGTGCTCAGTGATGAAGCCAGAGTGAGATGACGGAGGGCCCCAGGGCTGGGAGTCGGGATCCTTGGGTTCTGGGCCTAGATGTGTTTGCTAATTTTCTCTTTTTTTTTCACAGACAGAGTCTCACTCTGTCACCCAGGCTGGAGTGCTTACTGCAACCTCTGCCTTCTGGATTCAAGTGATTCTTGTGCCTCAGCCTCCTGAGTAGCTGGAATTATAGGCGTCCACCACTATGCTGGGCTAATTTTTGTATTTTTAGTAGAGACGGGGTTTCACCATGTTGGCCAGACTGGTCTCGAACTCCTGACCTCAGGTGATCCGCCCACCTTGGCCTCCCAAAGTGCTGGGATTACAGGCGTGAGCCACCACGCCTATGGCTCTGGCTCTGCTTCTGCCTCTTTCCTGACTAATTTTTGAAGACCCATCCATTCTCTGTGCCTCAGTTTCCCCACCTATAAAATGAGGGGATGACTTTGGAGGCCCCATCCAGCCTGGATTATTTTCTTTTCTTTTTTTTTTTTTTTTTTTGAGACGAGTCCCACTCTGTCGCCCAGGCTGGAGTGCGGCGGCTGGATCTCAGCTCACTGCAAGCTCCACCTCCCGGGTTCACGCCATTCTCCTGCCTCAGCCTCCCGAGTAGCTGGGACTACAGGCGCCCGCCACCTCGCCTGGCTAGTTTTTTTTTTTTTTTTTTTTTTTATTTTTTTAGTAGAGACGAGGTTTCACCGTGTTAGCCAGGATGGTCTTGATCTCCTGACCTCGTGATCCGCCCGTCTCAGCCTCCCAAAGTGGTGGGATTACAGGCTTGAGCCACCACGCCCGGGCAGCCTGGAGTATTTTCTACACCTCTTACTCCCACCCATGGGCTAGTCTTGGACCCTAGTGTCTTAGAAGCAAGTTTCCTCTCTGGGTCCCTAGGGTACAAGTTGGGGGCTGTGTCACTTTATGGTCTGCTGGAGTGTGGTGGCAAGCAGGGCTGAAGAACTGGGAGAGGGCTGGGTGGGGGCAGGAGGGCCCTGACTTTCGTGGGCTACCTGTGACCTGGGGCACCAGCCCTGACTCGGGGGTTCCTGGGCCCTCAGGAGAACTTGCCGGGCTGGAACTACACCTTCTGGCAGTGGTTTGACGGGGTGATGGAGGTGTTGAAGAAGCACCACAAGCCCCACTGGAATGATGGGTAAGGAACGGGGGCCACAGGGTCAGTGGGCACAGAGGGACTGTGGCTGTGGCCCAGTGGTGACGCTCAATGCTCCATGCACCCAGGGCCATCCTAGGTTTTGTGAATAAGCAACAGGCCCACGACCTGCTCATCAACAAGCCCGATGGGACCTTCTTGTTGCGCTTTAGTGACTCAGAAATTGGGGGTATCACCATTGCCTGGAAGTTTGACTCCCGTGAGTGCCCGCTTTGCCCACACTCCAGCCCCAAGGCCCAGTCTCCTGTTCCCTTGCCCCCTCCCCCCGCCCTGCGCATCGGGCTTGTGTCCTTAGAAGGTACCCAGTGGGAAGCTTAGTATGAGAGGGCTGTGGCTTGGAAATTCCCTTTCTATCGTTTTCCATTCTGGAGAACCTGAAGTCCCCAGCCCCATAGACTCCAGGACGGTTGGGCGAGTTCTCCTGCAGTTTCAGCTCTCCCCGCTCTGCCACGACCCAGCCTTGTTGGTATCTGCTCATCTGGTTTGCTGAGTAGGACATCCTGCATTGGCTTTCTTCCCTACAGGCTGGGGTTGCAGTGCAAGCTCGTATATAAAAGCCCATATTTCTCTTGCAAGCCTGCCTTAAAGCCCCACAACCTTGGTCCTCCTCCTGCTGCTGGTGGATTATGGGAATGAGGTTGTTCTTTTCACAGCGGAACGCAACCTGTGGAACCTGAAACCATTCACCACACGGGATTTCTCCATCAGGTCCCTGGCTGACCGGCTGGGGGACCTGAGCTATCTCATCTATGTGTTTCCTGACCGCCCCAAGGATGAGGTCTTCTCCAAGTACTACACTCCAGTGCTGGGTGGGTACTGCCCCAGGACCCTGCCGGCTGACTCCCCCGGGCTCTTCCCCAGCCCGTACACAAAGCCTTGGGCTGCGCCGTGGGGACTCCCCAGGAGGAGCCCAGGGGCCATGTCCCCTGTGGGTTTTGACCCATGGGGTGACGGAGAGGACTTCAGGGCTCACAAATGAGGGAACGACAAACCTGTCCCAGCTCTCTTCTCTGCAAAGTGAAAGCTGCATGGATTCTCACTTCTGCACCCTTGGAGGAAGGGGTGGCAGTGCTGTAGGGAGTGGCCGGGATCATTCGAGCCCACAGATAGTGCTCTGCTCCCCACCTCACCAGCTGCTGTCTCCACACCCTGCTCACAAACCTTCCCCCGAGTGGAGTGCAGGCAGCAAAAGGGAGAAGTCTTTTTTCTTCCAGCTGCCCCAAATCCATTGGTTGGGTTTGCTTGTTCATTCTCTTTCTTTGACGGGTGAGGGCAGGGAGAGGGAAAGCAAATAGTCAGAAAAGGAACCAGGAGAAGGGATGGGATTCAAGCCAGGGGTCTCAGTGACCCTCAGGCAGGATTCATCAGCTGGTGTTTACTGGGGGCCCTTGGGAACGCTCATCCCAGCTGAGACCACAAGGTGATGTGGGCAGGAGGGAGACTGCATGGGGCATGGACTTCTACCCCACTTGGGAGTTCCCAGAGACTTTGGTTCTCACTGCGGTTCTCCCCTTGGCAGCTAAAGCCGTTGATGGATACGTGAAGCCACAGATCAAGCAAGTGGTCCCTGAGTAAGTGGCCAGGTGGCTCTGGCCCTCCTTCTGCCTCTTTCCTCCTTCCCCAGACCCTGCCTCCTGCCTCCCACCCTGATCCTGGGCCCAGCTTTCTGCTCCCCCAGGAAACCTGTCTCAGCCCTGGGGAGGGACCTGGGCTTGGTCACGCTGTGCCAGTACCCGAGTGCCCACTCCTGTAGCCGGAGCTCCAGGGCCAAGTGGGCACTTTGTCCTTCTACACCCCGAGAAAGACAAACATGCCCCTCGGTCCCCTCCCCGTCAGCTGCCCCGGCCTCCCTGGCGGCTGAAGCTGTTCTCTTCCTTCTGCAGGTTTGTGAACGCGTCTGCAGATGCCGGGAGCGGCAGCGCCACGTACATGGACCAGGCCCCCTCCCCAGCTGTGTGCCCCCAGGCTCACTATAACATGTACCCACAGAAGTAGGTGGCGTTCTCATGGGGGTCCGCAGGGGAAGAACTGGGGGCTTGGCCCCAGGCTGGACCCCTGGAGGGCTGGTGGGCAAAGGAATCCAGAGCTCTGGTTAAGCCCCGGTCCAGGAGGAGTGAGATCAGCCAGGAAGACGGAGCATTTTGAAGCTAAACATAGCAGGGTCCAGTCCTCACTCTAGTACCAACTGTGCAATCTTGGGAAAATGATTGAGCCTCTCTGAAGCTCAAGTTTCCTTACGTGTAAAACGGAGGCAAGAATGCTTGCCTCATGAGAACGGGAGGAGCATTACAATGAGACACTGTGGGTGAAGCATTTCCACAGGGAGGGGCTTGGAAGGGCTTGATACAGGGTAGCTATGAAGGGGGTGGTTGTTCTTAAGAGTCTGGTGGGAACAAGGTAGAGAATTAATTCCCTTCCTCACTGTGGATGGCCAGGGCTGGATGTCTGGGAGGTACCACCTTCCAGTGGGACCACTGAAGATCGCAGGTTCCAATCCGGAGTCCACCACCTCCCAGCCAGGTGGCCCAGAGCAAGCTTCCTGACATGGCCTTGTTTCCTCGTCTATAAAACGGGGTCAATACCCACTCTCCAGGTGGCTGTAAACATTGGAGTCATATGCTCAGTAGGCTCAGCCGTTCTAGGTGCTCAGTGAACAGGGCGGTGCCTACCATGAAGCTGAGCATAATTGCAGGTGGGCGGAGCCCACTGTGTCAGTCACCTGGTTTTACAGATGAGGACAGGGAGAGGGGAAATGAATTCCCTGAGATTATTCAGTGAGTTAGCAAGAGATGGGAATAGAGTGGGGGTCTGCAGAAGCCAGTGGGCTGCTACCCAGCTCAGGGTGGGGTGAGGGCATCCAGCCAGAACTGGTCCTGTTCTCATGAGACGAGTTTGAGTGGAGAGCAGGCTGGAGGCTGTCCCCAGGGAGCCTGAGGCTGTGAGAAATGCCAGCTCCCTCTGACATCCCCCTCTCTTTACCAGCCCTGACCCTGTCCTTGACCAGGATGGAGAATTCGACCTGGATGAGACCATGGATGTGGCCAGGCACGTGGAGGAACTCTTACGCCGACCGATGGACAGTCTTGACTCCCGCCTCTCGCCCCCTGCCGGTCTTTTCACCTCTGCCAGAGGCTCCCTCTCATGAATGTTTGAATCCCACGCTTCTCTTTGGAAACAATATTCAATGTGAAGCGTTTGTGTTGTGAGCTTAGTATGGCTGTGTACACCGACACCTTTGCAGGCATGCATGTGCGTGTGTGTGTCCTTGTGCATGAGCTACGCCTGCCTCCTCTGTGCAGTCCTGGGATGTGGCTGCAGCAGTGGTGGCCTCTTTTCAGATCATGGCATCCAAGAGCGCGCCGAGTCCGTCTCTGTCGTGGTAGACACTGAGCCTCTGTCACTGCAGGCACTCAGTGCAGTCAAACCTATTCCTTCTGTGCCCTTCATCTGCTCAGCAGCTATTTGAATGAGATGATTCAGAAGGGGAGGGGAGATGGGTAACGTTTCTAAGCTGAAGTTTCACTCCGGAGTGAGAAGCTTTGCCCTCCTAACACAGAGTGTGTGTGCGTGTGTGTGTGTGTGTGCGTGTGCGTGTGTCTATGTAAATGCATCTGTCCTCATGTGTTGATGTAACCGATTCATCTCAGGAGGGAGGCTGGGGTTCATTTTTGAGTAGTATTTTATACTTTAGTAAATGTGGACTCCAGACTCTCTGTGAACCCTCGGAGAGCGCGTCTGGGCCTGGCCATGTCCTTAGCACAGCAGGGCCGCTGGTTTGAGTGAGGGTTTCTGAGTGCTCTGAATTCGTCCTTGCTTGGCTGCTTGGCCTTGGGCTTGAAAATTCAAGTCTATGATGCTGTTGCCCACGTTCCGCGGGATATATATTCTCTCCCTTCCTTGAGGCCCCAGCCTTCTTACCTTGCCTCTCTGTTCATAACCTTGTCTATGAAGAGGAAGAAAAGATTGGGTCTAGGATATGGTGGGTGGACAGGGGCCCCGGGACTTGGAGGGTTGGTCCTCTTGCCTCCTGGAAAAAAAAAAAACTGCAGTGAAAGACAAGCTGCAAATAGCCATGTGCTGCGTGTCTGTGGAATCTGGAGTGAGGGGTGAAAGCTGATTTGGTTTGACTCCGCTGGGAGGTGGGGCCAGGAGCAGGCCTTGCGATGTGGCTGTGATCTGGGAAGGCCTTGCTCCCAACCACACACGCGCCTCCCCCTGAGGCTGTAGGACTCGCAGTCAGGGGCAGCTGACCATGGAAGATTGGGAGCCCAAGGTTTAAACTTCTCTAAAGGGAGGTGGGGATGAGAAGAGGGATTCTTTTGTACTTTGTACAAAGACTACACATTTGTGTAAACAGTGTTTTGGAATAAAATATTTTTTTCATAAATTTGCCGCTATGGCTCCTGGTTGGGGCGTTGGTGGCCTCCCTGGGTGATGGGAACCCCTGGAGCTGGGTTGTTCTGTTCCTTCCCCTATGCATGCCTGACGCTGTCATTTTTAGTCTTAAATTTTAACTCTGCCCGCTTTACTGTGGTTTTCAGGGTGCTGGCCACCCCTGGAATACTGTCAATGCTTCTCAGAGGGGTAAAGGGTCAGTTTAAGGGGCACAGATTCCCTAAAATGCAGGGGACTCGAGGTTTGGGGAAAAGATGGAGATGGGCACGGGTGGGCAGAACTCTGACCCAGGCCTCTCCTTAGCAGCTGCTGCTCCCAGCAGCCTCGAAGCTGGCGGCTGAGGGCCCGGGGCCAAGATACTTCTCAACCCTCCAGGCCAGGGGCAGTCCCAGAGCCACAACGTCCCATCCTCCTCCTTCCCAGAGACCAGCAGGTGGCACCACGCGGCTGCGCTGTTTTCAGCTGGCTGCCGGCGACTGTGTGAGGCGGGGGTGCAGGAGGGGGACTGGCTCGCCCCGGCTGGACCCCCGCGCCGCTGGCTGCGGCCAGTCTCTGCTGTCAGTGGGGCCCTTGGGCGCAGGAACATGCGCTCCCCGGGCGGGGCTGGGAGCCAGGTTTGCGGGCAGGTTCCTTCTGAGCTCAGAGCTCAAGTAAGGGAGGGGGGCGGCTCGTGGGCCCCAGGAGGGAGGTGCAGGGGGCCCAGAGCAGGGGGCAGGCGGGGGTGGGAGAAGAGAGGAGGGGAGGGGAAGGGCAGGTGCCACCGCCCCACCGGGCTAATCTGCTCCATCTCTGCAAGGGAAGGCGCTAGCTCCTAGCTCCCAGGCGCGTCTCCAGGGCGCTGGGGCATGTGTAGGGGTGGGGAGAAGCCCGTGGGTGCCCGTGTAGCTGAGATCAGAGCGCCTTTCCCTGCATTATCACCGCTGGCTGCCTGGAGGCCCTGCAGCCACCACCGGGTGTCTGCCTGTTGTCCCCACTGGGTGAACTGAAGGCAAAGTGATAAAGGAGCCAACTGTGGAAGGGGAAGCCTTGGTGCGGTGGGAGTATCTAACCCCCAACCCCGCTTAGGTGGCTTATCTGACTCCAGACAGGACGAGGCCGCTCTAGGGGGTAGGAGGGGGCCGGGGAGGGAGGCCTCCACTCTTACACCTTTCTGCCATTGGACTATTGACCTCCTGCTCCTCCAGGCACCCCTTACCTCCGGGCTGGTGGCTAACATAAGGGGGTGGGGTGGGGGACTAAGGCAACCACCTCCTCTCAAGACCCTTTCCGGCCCCCATCCCAGGCCCCGCCTGAGTGTGAGGCCTCTTCAGAACTTAGGCAGGGGAAAAGGAAGCCTCCACCAGCCAGACAGAGCTGCCATGCTATCAGACGGTTCCTATATAACGTTTATTTCTGGAAGTTAAAGTAGATACAGCAATATACCAAAAAAAAAAAAAAGACAAAAAACCCCACAATAATATAAATTTTTACACTATGAAGTACACATTGGAATTTGAATGCAGTGGCCAGGACAGCAGCTTATAAACCACCTTATAGGTAGGTAAGCAACCCACGGGATTCCCTCAGCTGGGCTGGGGACGGGCAGGGGGGCAGTGGACAGGAAGCGGGCAGGGCCTGAGGACCCTGTTCTTTAAGGGGCCAGAACAAGGCTCAGCTCCTCTCAGAACTTTTGCTACAATCAGAGTTAAGACCAGATACACATGCTATCTAAGGCCATGAACTTGACAATATCTGCTCCAGAGAAGCCCAAACCCTTTCCCGAGGTCCCTGTGATTTAAACCCAATGGTAAGCCCAAGACTCACCTTCCTAAATATTCTCTCTGTTTATCAGTTAAGCTTATTATGTACTGAAGAGTGTTGCTGGAGAAGCGAGAGCTCTGCAAGACACATCAACTGTCTCCAGGCAGGAGGACTGGGGCGAACCCGGTTCATCTTAGAGAAGGTCCTCTCTCACTTAATTCAGAGACCAGCTAATTTGATCTAACAATCAGAATTCCACAGAAACTCTGATCAGCTGAGGCAAGGTGGTTTTGAGTCGCCAAATTCGGCCATGCCTCTGGGTCAGAGGCAGCCCACCCAGCACGTGCTAGGTGTTCCCATACGCACAGGAGAGGCAAGCTAGCTGGCCAAGGCGGGCAGACGGGGAGGCTCTCTACCTGTTCTGCCTCACCTGTGGGGCCCCAGCAGGGAGGAGTCACCAGCCTCAGAGGGAGGCCAGCTATAACCCTCATACGAGGGCAGACTCAAGTTTATCAGTAAGCCTTTGCCCTGCATGAACTGAATGAAGACGCCATTACAAATGCCGCTGGAAATCACCAAGAAACTGGGCTAAGAACCATATTCCCTGAGCTCAACCAGACACGTCGCTGGGGCCCCATAGTCTGCATCATATCCAACTGGTAACTTTCTCCCCCTCTTCTTCCATGAGGTCCTGAGACCAGGATTCCTAAAACAAACAGGACGAGGGACCTTCAGACATGGGAGGAGACATGCCACTAGCAGGGTCAGGGGAACTGGGGTCGGGAGGGCGAGGCAAGAAGGAAGCCCAAATCAGAAGTATCCCAGCCCTGATAAGGCACCCACAGAAACAACCTAGCCTCTGAAACAGCAGATCAAGTCCAGGGAGAAAGGGAGTCAAGGTTGTAAGCACCCTCTGCCCAGCCTTACCCACTAAAAGACCAATACATTACAAAGGAAAATAAAAGTCTATTTATAAAAAAAAGTCTAAAATGCTTAGATTCTCCTTAAACCTTCCTATTTCAACACCAAAGGCCAGGCTGCAGCTTCAGATAGGGTTTGACCTGAAGCCTGTTTCAGGGGTTATATAAATTATCAACCTGAAGGAAGCTGAATGCTTAAAGCACCAAGGAGGCTGTTAACTGAAGTTTCTTTTTCTTTTTCTTTTTTTTTGAGATGGAGTCTCACACTGTTGCCTGAGTTGGAGTGCAGTGGTGTGATTTTGGCTCACTGCAACCTCCGCCTCTTGGGTTCACGCCATTCTCCTGCCTCAGCCTCCCGAGTAGCTGGGACTACAGGCACCCGCCACCACGCCCGGCTAATTTTTTGTACTGTTAGTAGAGACGGGGTTTCACCGTGTTAGCCAGGACAGTCTTGATCTCCTAACCTCATGATCCACCCACCTCGGCCTCCCAAAGTGCTGGGATTACAGGCGTGAGTCCCTGCGGCCGGCTGCTGAAGTTTCTTAAATACAGAAAGGCTATGCTGAAACAGTGTTTTTTGCCCTTTAATTGTTCTTATTTCTTAATTTAAAAAGAAACGTAGGGCTTAGATAGTCCTATCTTCTATTTGGATGTCAGCAAGGTTAAAAAGTGCAATGCCAGGAGTATGTAGCTACAGGTGGCCTGTGGCATTTGCTTACAGAAACAGGCAGAAGGATGCCGCGGGCACCAGGAGGCACTTGTCTAAGAACAACAACAACAATAACAAAAAGCTGCTGAGAAAGGAGGGCAGGGGAACAAAACAACACAAGACATTTCCTTTTTCTCCCTCTAGCCACCCCCCGCCACATCCCCCAATCACGGGTCTCAGAGAACACATCCTTATTTGCATTTAGATAAAAGCAGATCACCCACATTCACTCATTTCTCTATTTTTAAAAGTGCCCAGATTGCTCAAAGATAGCAGAAGTAGGAGATTAAAAAAAATCTGGAACCACAAAGTTAGTAGTTTCAGATGATCTGGGGTTTGGCTGTGTGAGGGGTGGCGGAACACAGGTAGGCGCTTCAGTCGTATCTTTCTGCAGCTTCCGTTCTCAGCTCCTCACATGGGGGAGGTAGCACACTCCGAGGTCAGCTCCATGTCAAAGGTGAGGGACTCTGGAGGGACAGACAGGGAAAACTAGTTCAGTTGTCCACCCTCTGCAACTGGCAGGCCACGCCCCCAGCCCTTCAGAGGATAGGACTCAGGCTACAACTGCTATCCAATCTCCTGTCCCTTAGGGCCCAGGGATGGTCAGAAAAGCCAGATTTATTCTCCTCCCTAGAGGACCCTGCCTCTGGAAGGGCCCGTTCTCCTTCCTCCCTTAACCAATTCCCAGATCTCCACGTTTACAGAAGATCTAAGGCTGTCCTTAGATCTTCTGCCCTTGATCTACTGTTTAATTCAGGAGCCCCGAGACACACGTGGCCACCAAGCATTTGAGATTTGGTTTGTCCAAACTGGGCTGTGCTGTGGCTGTCAAAAGCCCACTGGATTTTAAAGACTTAGTATGAAAAAAAGAGTAAAAAAAAGGTCTCAACTTTTTCTTTTCTTTTAGTTTAATTTTGTTGTTTTGAAATGGAATCTCACTCTGTCACTCAGGCTGGAGTGCGGTGGCACGATCTCAGCTCACTGCAACCTCCCCCTCCCAGGCTCAAGCAATCCTCCTACCTCAGCCTCCCGAGTAGCTGGGATTACAGGCATGTGCCACCACGTCCAGCTAATTTTTGTATTTTTAGTAGATATGGGGTTTCACCATGTTGGCCAGGCTAGTCTTGAACTCCTGACCTCAAGTCATCCACCCGCCTCAGCCGCCCAAAGTGCTGGGATTACAAGCGTGAGCCACCCACCCAGCCTCAACTTTTTCTGAAATGTTAAATTTTTTTTTTTTTTTGAGAGGGAGTCTCGCTGTCACCCAGGTTGGAGTGCAGTGGCGTGATCTCAGCTCACTACAAGCTCTGCCTCCAGGGTTCACGCCATTCTCCTGCCTCAGCCTCCCAAGTAGCTGGCATTACAGGCGCCCGCGACCGCGCCTGGCTAGTTTTTTGTATTTTTAGTAGAGACGGGGTTTCACCGTGGTCTCGATCTCCTGACCTCATGATCCGCCTGCCTCGGCCTCCCAAAGTGCTGGGATTACAGGCGTGAGCCACCAAGCCTGGCCTGAAATGTTAAATTGACAGTATGTTGGATTTACTGGGTTAAATAAAATATACTGTAAAAATTAACTTCGTCTATTTCCAGTGTGGCTGCTAGATTTATACCCGCACGTGGCAT